ACCCCCGCCGCTGCACCAGCTCCCGCGCCCAGCCGCTGCCGCCACCACAGAGGAGGGGGACTGGGGCTGGGGGGGAAGGGGTATAACGTCACTTCCGTGGGAACACGAGAGCTTCCGGTGGTGAACTTGGGGTGCCTGTTGAGGCCGGTGGGGGAGGGTGGTGGAGTACTATCACTGCCGAGAGTGTCCACGAGAGGGTGTGAAGTGGCAAGACGAAAATTGCCTGCTTTCACCATTCCCCCCCAATAGGAGCCTCTTTTGAGACACTGATAAGGGAAGTAATGGTATCACAGGCTCGGCAGACTACAGCAAAGTTGCTTTTAAGGGTTTTCGTTGCTATGCTATGCCTCTTTACTTGGAAATCCCATTTGGGGGGAAAGTTTAACTACCCATAGGTGCGTATGATTTCAAACTATTCTATAAATATTTAACTCATAAGTGAACTTCATTGAGTTCACTTACTATCACATATGTATAAGAATGTGCTGGCTCTGCAGTTCAATCCTATGCAAGCTTACTTAGAGATTATTCAGCAAAAGGTTTTGGTCAAGATTAGAGATATATGTCAGTGTGGTGTAATGATTAAAATGCTGGATAAGGACAGGTTCGAATCCCCATTCACTCAGTAGCTCACTTGGTGCCTTATGCTCAACCTAGCGGGGTTGTTGTGAAGATAAAATGGTAGTACAGGAAAATGGGTTAAGCTATCCTGAGCTACTTGGAGGAAGGCTAAAAATAGGTGAAATAATTAAAGCTTCCTGCTATAATATCATGGAATTTTTATTACCTAATACCTCAATATATTAAAACCCACAAATCATCATAGTGAGAGTAAAAAAAAAAGTTAACAGTGATGATAATAAACCATTCTATGGCACCCTGAATTTTCCCCCCTCATCTATACCCTACTGTTCGGCTCAATGAGGACTCCCAAGTGTGGCTTACAACACTATCCCTTTCACCATTTTTTCCTCACAGCAACCCTGTGAGATAGGTTAGGATGAGTGTCTGACTGGATCACAGTCACCCAGTAAGAACCTGGGTCTTTTCAGACCTTAGTCTACCACTCTAACCATTACAACATTCTAGCCATGCAGGTAAGATGGTCTAGTAACATTTTGGTTGGTTTCTAACTATGGTTTAGTTCTCTTAATTTAATTAAAATGTATCCTTAAATTGTAATCATGTGCACCAATCCATCCAAACCTCTGAATTACAACTGACACAATATGTAAACATTCCTACAGAATGCCTATGAAATGACTTTTATTTGAAACATGCACTTTGAAATTTGCAGTGTCATAATTTCGGTTGTGTTTTATATTTTTCTTACTTGTTTGTTGATTTTTGTGGTGGGTTTGGAGCGGGTGCTTTTTTCACCAACAAAATAATCACCAAAACATCTTTTTTCATTAAGAACATAAGAGATGCCAATGTTGGATCAGGCCAAAGGCCCATCCAGTCCAACACTGTATCACACAGTGGCCAGAAATACCAGTGCCATCAGGAGGTTCACCAGTGGGGCCAGGACATTAGAAGCCCTCCCACTGTTGACCCCCCCCTCAAGTCCCTATCTATACCTTGTGGCTAATAGCCACTGATGGACCTCTGCTCCATATCTATATATCTAATAGCGAAAGGCGCCCCCTGCGTGCGGATACCTAAATCGGGGGCACCTGGGGGGGGGAGGGAGATTTTTGTGCACACTTGGGGCAGTCCCCAGGTGTGCACAAAAATCTAAAAACACGGAAAAAATACCGGGGGGATACTTAAATCCCCCTGAAAGTGACAGAGCGTCCCCTGTGCATGCGCAGGGAACGCTCTGCGAACTCCCTCGCCGCCGCCGCTGCTTCGAAGCCGGGGGGGGGAGACAGCAGTGCGGCCTGCTTCTGGGGCCAGGACACTAGAAGCCCTCCCACTGTTGCCCCGCCCCCAAGCACCAAGAATACAGTGCATCACCTGCCCCAGCCTGAGAGTTCCTATCTATACCTTGTGGCTAATAGCCATTGATGGACCTCTGCTCCATATGTCGATCCAAATCCCTCTTGAAGCCGCCCATGCTTGTAGTCGCCACCACCTCCTGTGGCAGTGAATTCCATGTGTTAATCACTCTCTGGGTGAAGAAGTACTTCCTTTTATTTGTTTTGACTGCTCAGCAGTTTCATTGAGTGCCCACGAGTTCTTGTACTGGGAGAAAAGTACTTCTTTCTCTACCTGCTCTATCCCATACATAATCTTGTAAACCTCGATCATGTCACCCCTCAGTCGTCATTTCTCCAAGCTAAAGAGCTCAAGTGCTTTAACCTTTCTTCATAGGGAAAGTGTTCCAACCCTTTTACCATTCTAGTTGCCTTTTCCAGTGCTATAATATCTTTTCTGATGTGTGGTGACCAGAATTGCACACAGTATTATGATACTGGCTGATTTGTTTTCAATTCCCTTCTTAATAATCCCGAGCATAGCGTTGGCCTTTTTTATTGCAGTTGCACACGTTCTCAACATTTTCAGTTAATTATCTACTACGACTCCAAGATCTCGCTCTTGGTCAGTCTCTGCCAGTTCAGACCCTATCAACATGTATTTATAGTTAGGATTTTTGGCCCCAATGTGCACCACTTTGTGCTTGGCCACACTGAACCCCATTTGCCACGTTGACACCCACTCACGTATTCTCGACAGATCCCTTTGGAGTGCCTCACAATCCTCCCTGGTTTTCACCACTGTGAACAATTTCATGTCATCCAAAAATTTAGGCACTTTACTGCTTACTCCCAACTCCAAATCATTAATGAACAAGTTAAAAAGCATCGGACTCAGTACTGATCCCTGTGGTACCCCACTGCTTACCACCCTCCACTGAGAAAATTGCCCATTTATACTCACTCTGTTTCTTATTAATTAAAGCCTTTTCAGTATTTTATTCTTTCATAAACTTTTGTGGACTAGATGACATATGATGAATTTTGCTCTAGCTTTGAAAGTTGATGCTGAAATAAAAATGTTGTACAACACTCCTGTTTACTTTTTCTACAATAGATTAATACAGTTGCTCTGTTGATAATTATTCTGTTGTTTACAGAGGGAAAAAATCTAGACTATATTTTTTCAAATGCGAAACTGTTAAGAATTCCAGAGGAGCAGCTATGTTAAGATGCTGCTGCAAAAATAATAGTAGTCCTGTGGCACCTTAAAAACTTACAAACATTATTCCAATATAAGCTTTTATAGAGTGGAACCCACTTCTTTAGGCACTTCAGATATTGGTGGTGGTGAAAAATACCATCAAGTCACAGCCAATTTATGGCAACCCCTCATGGGGTTTTCAGGGCAAGAGACAAGCAGAGGTGGTTTGCCATTGCCTGCTTTGGTGGTTGCCAATTCCACTACTAAGCACAGCCAGCCCTGTTTAGCTTCCAAGATCTGATGAGATTGGGCTAGTGTGAATTCTTACTTCTTGTTGTTGTTCATTCGCACAGTCGAGTCCAACTCTTCGCAACCCCATGGACCACATCTCGCCAGGCCCTCCTATCTTCCATTGTGCTTCGAAGTTTGCTTAATTTCATGTCGATTGCATCGATAACACTGTCTAACCATCTGAATCCTTTGCCATCCCCTTCTTCTTTGGCCTTCAATCTTTCCCAGCATCAGGGTGTTCTCCAGTGAATGCTGCCTTCTCATTTGGTGGCCAAAGTATTTGAGCTTCAGCTTCAGTATCTGGCCTTCCAGGGAACAGTCAGGGTTGATTTCTTTTAGGATTGACTGATTTGATCTCTTTGCAGTCCAAGGGTCTCTCAAGAGTCTTCTCCAGTGCCATAATTCAAAAGAAAAGAGCGCTCGGCCTTCCTTATAGTCCAGCTCTCGCAGCCATACATTACTACTGGGAGTACCATTTCTTTGACCAGACGGACTTTTGTTGGCAGGGTGATGTCTCTACTTTTTATTATGCTGACTAGGTCTGCCATCGTTTTCCTCCCAAGGAGCAGGCGTCTTTTAATTTCATGGCTGCAGTCACCATCTGCAGTGATCTTGGATCCCAGGAACATGAAGTCTGTCACGGCTTCCACGACTTCCCCTTTTATTTGCTAAGGAGTGATGGGGCCGGATGCCATGATCTTAGTTTTTTTTGGTGTTGAGTTTCAAGCCAACTTTTGCGCTCTCTTTCATTATTAGCAAGAGTCTCTTTAGGTCCTCTTCACTTTCTGCCATGTGCATATCTGAGGTTGTTGATCTTTTCCCCAGCAATCCTTTTATGTAAAAGGATGGGAGGCAGGACCAAGAGGCCATAAAATGCAAGAAGATTGGACTGCTAATTATATTCCACCCTGTACTTATTGTATTTTGTGGCTTCTTGAGAGTGCTGTTTTCCCCCTCATCTTCCATAAAATGACTGCTACTGAGGATTCAGACTCAGAATGTATCTGAAAAAATGGGTCCTAGTCCATGGAACCTCATACTGGAATAAAATACAAATAGTCTTTAAGGGGCTACAGAACTCCATTTATTTTTATTAAGAAATCCTGACTCAACTGAACTGTAGAAAAATACAAAGACCATTGCTAGAATGAATCTGAGGCTTTTGTTGTCATACATTGTTTTTACAGTAGATGTCTCTATCATTCTCCAAACACAACTCTCTTCTCCTCCAAGTAGGTATGAAGTCTATGTGAATCCTTGTAGGAACAGATTCCAAAGAAATAACTTACTTTCTTGGGAGTAAACCTCACTGAACAGACCTGAGTAGGATTCTGTTTAAGATTGCTGTTGCTCTACAGCAGCCTAAATAACAACAGAGTTTTCTGGCATCTTAAAGACTAGATCGATCACCTTTCGAGAAGTTAGAGACGTAGGCTTTAATCTTGTGTATATAAGCTGAATGGCAATTAAGGCTCTTGGGTATATAAATTGTTTTGGTTTCAGTTGCGCTGTTGAATTTCCTTCTGGATAATCCTATATTGTGATGATCGGTTCTTGTGATATGTCTGAACAT